ACCTGCCCCTTTCAAGATCTGGGGAGGAAGCAGGGACACAAAGCTGAATTCTCCACACCCCCATCTCCCAGGATACCCACAATCAAGGATAAAAGCCAGTAAGCACAGACTAGTTTCAAACTAGAATTAACTTGAGGCCTATGTGACCTACGGTGGACAGAATGAGTCAAGAAACCACTAGGGCCCTGAGTAAGTGAAAGCTGTCAGAGAAAGCCAAACCTCAGAGCACGAAGGGGCCGGCAAAGCCAGGAGGGGCACAGTGACCGGTCAGAGTTCCACTTTTGAGAAGCAGTACCTTCACGTATGCCCCACTGGGGGCTGACTTTAAACCAAAAGACATCATGTTAATTATTATATTGATGGCTTATTTATAAATGTAAAAGGTTATTATGAAAGTAACATGACCACTTAAAAAATTTGGAAAATGGAGAAAAAGGCAAATTGCCTTTTGTCCCACCACCCATGGTTAGTTAGCCTTTTGGCACATTTTCTCCCAGTGTTTTTACATAGATATAGTCATGACATATCATATTGCTTGACAAAACTATTAATACTCTTTAAAAACTAATAAAATCACATAAATGCATGCACTCTTTTTAAAAAATCAAATAATACTGATTTTCAATTTATTGGATTATCTTTATTTTCCAAAATTCTAATAAACAGCAAAAGTCAGGCTACATGAAATCTAAATTCAATCACTTGCCCCACTAAACCAACAGTGATAACAAACGAGTAACAATAAATTAGGTAAAATACATCATCCATAATTAAGGAGGTGTTAAATCAAATGTTAAATTGCAACCAGCTCATTTTCCAGCTAATATTTAAATTCTGTCCCAAGTTATCTCATTTAATAATGTATCAGTTTGGGTGCTTCACTCTCTTCTGGGGAGGAGTGTGAGAATTTGAACCCACAATGAATAAACAAAAGTACTAGAAATGACTAGTAGAAAACTAGTAAGTTTAGACGCTACGGAGAGAAAGTAGCATTTTAAACCGTATCTAGTTCCTGCTGCTTCCAGAATTGCTTGGCCTCATGCTGACCTCCTCCCCTCCCTTCAAACAAACTAAACTCTAAAGCAAGGGTCAGAAAATTTTTCCTGTAAAGAACCAGATAGTAAGTATTTTAGACTTTGGGGCCACAAGGCAAAAGTGACAATATTAGGTATAAGAAAGAAAACAAATTTCTACAAATCTTTTATTGGTGAAATTAAAAGTATAAATTGACTTTTTTTGTAATACAGGTCTACCAATAAGAATGGATTTCTTCTTAGGGGGATAACATTTTGCAAAGTTGGGAAATCCCTTTCATCGAAATTGATTACAAATGTTCACCTGTTAATGCTGATTCTGTAATGATTATTTTACATATTTCATCTTTGAAAATGTCTTTTCACATAGGCAGGTACTACAAAATGCTATCATTGCATAAGCCTAAGATTTTACTAATATATATATATATATTTTTTTAGAGACAGGGTCTCACTCTGTTGCCCAGGCTGAGCTCAAACTCGTGCCCTCAAGTGATTTTCCCACCTCAGCCTCCCAAAGCCCTGGGATTACAGACATGAACCACCATGCCTGGCCACAAGCCACCAATTTTAATTGAGCATATTCATCTTTTGGATGATATATATAGAATTCCATTAGTCTTGATGCTTCTCTTTTAATCACTTGCAATTGAAGGTTTAGTATAAAATCAGTTTCACAGGTAAGTAAATGGCTTTTGAAATGTGGAAATTTCCTTTGCATTCACATCATGATCCAAAACCACTCCTAGAACCTGTTTGCATTTGGAAAAAATGCATCCACAGTAAATGTGTGTAGGAATGGAGAGTTGTCTTTGTTTTCACTTTTGACAGCAGAGAAAAAACACGCGGCAGCTTAGCAGGACATAATGACAAACATTAGTGGTCATCAAAATGACTTTATTGCAGCATAGGGTTTACATAAGCGCTATTTTGCTTTGTAATTTTAGGTTGAATTCATTAAGAAACATTACTAAGTCTGTAGCAACAGCTAATTTCTAAAGCCATTCAGCACACAATAATAGTGGATGGGAGCAATTTTTCTCATTCAGAAAAATTTCAATCTCAGACCTAAGCTCAAAAACTTGTAAGAAAACTTTATCACTGCTAAGCCACCAAACTGCTGTGTGGAAGGGCATGTCAGAACATTCAGCATCTTGGCTAGGTATGGTGGCTCACACCTGTAATCCTTGCAGTGTGGGAGGCTACACGGGAAAATTGCCTGAGGTCAGGAATTCGAGACCAGCCAGAGCAAAAGTGAAACCTCCATCTCTACAAAAAAAATAGAAAAAATTAGCTGGGCGTGGTGGCAAAAGCCTGTAGTCCCCAGCCACTCAGGAGGCTGAGGCAGGAGGATTCTCTTGAGCCCAGAAGTTTGACGTTGCTGTGAGCTATGAACACGCCACTGCACTCTAGCCCTGGGCAACAGAACAAGACCCTGTGTCACAAAAAAAAAAAAAAAAAAAAAGAAGAAAAGAATATTCAGCTGACAAAAATTCATGGAATTGATGTCAGTTAAATCTACATGAGTGAGTGAAATTCATCACTAACATTAATAGTGCAATGACACATAATAAATTCAAATGTTTTCTGCAAAGTACCTGTTGATGAATAATGCAACGAATGATCACCTTACATTTTCACAAGCTTTGTAAATTTGTCCAATTAAATCTTTTTCGGCTACACACATTTTTACCATCAACTGTAAAAGATATTAGCCGACAACACTTCGGGTTGTGTTGAATTAGTGTTTTAACTTTTTTGAAAATATTCTCACCTGTAGTTGTTCCAAGCTGACTACTCATAGAGGCTAATTCTTCAGTCACTTCAGACCTGACATTGACTCCATGATTCATAAATAAGCAAAAACTAAAAGTAACAGTATCGTCTGTGGATTCATCAAGAGCCAAGGAGACTACATGAAATCATTTGCCTTCTTCTTTTTTTTTTTTTTTTTAAGCCAGTCAAATTTAGCAGTGGGGGGTTGAATACCAACTTTAGTGACACTGCCTTCTTCTTAAATTGACTACTCCTGCTATTCCCAATGTCCTCAACATTTGGAGAAACTGTTCCTGCTGAAAGTCTAACACTCAAAACAAATTTGTTTTCTCTGGACACACTTCTTCAGCTGCTGCAATCAAACATAATTTAATTAACTCAGCATCAGTAAATGGCTTTTCTTACTTGACTAACAAATGAGCCTCTCAAACTTACTTCAGTTGTAGCCTCATTTTCATTTTTGTGAAGAAATTCTGTGATAAATATTCGCTTTTAAGTTTTCTAATGTTCCTAACTGTTGCTTTCCTATAAGTTAGGGATACTGTGATGAGTGCTTGGCCTGGTGATGGCTGATTTCAGTCCAGCAATCTTAGGTGCTTTGCCACCGAATTTAACAATAAAATAACCCACACTCCAGTGCCTTAAAAGTACAACATTCCAAGTCCATCTTTTTCCTCCCATTTTGAGAGGTATGCATTGGTAATAAAGAATAAATAAAATGCTGTGGTCTGCAGATACGCACAGCACAGGAAACACTGAGGAGTGCACCAAGCAGCAACCCAAAGTGACTGAATGCCACATATGGTCTCTGTGACAACTAATCAACTCTGCAGCTGTGGCACACAAGTAGCCACAGATGATATGTAAACAAATGAGCATAGGTTCAAATAAAGCTTTACTTATGGACTCCTTCAAGTTCATACAGTTTTCATATATCACGAGATATTCTTTTTCAACCATTAAAAAATGTAAACACTGGGCTGGGCGTGGTGGACCACGCCTGTAATCCTAACACTCTGGGAGGCCGAGGCGGGTGGATTATTTGAGTTCAGGAGTTCCAGACCAGCTTGAGCAAGGGCCAGACCCCGTCTCTACTAAAAATGGAAAGAAATTAGCTGGACAACTAAAAATATGTAGAAAAAAATCAGCCAGGCATGGTGGCACATGCCTGTAGTCCCAGCTACTTGGGAGGCTGAGGCAGAAGGATTGCTTGAGCCCAGGAGTCTGAGATTGCTGTGAGCTAGGCTGATGCCACAGCACTCTAGCCCAGGCAACAGAGCGAGACTCTGTCTCAAAAAAAAAAAAAAAAAAAGTAAAAACTGAGGCCAGGCACAGTGGCTCATGCCTGTACTCCCAGGGGTTTGGGAAGCCGAGGCAAGAAGACCGCTTGAGGCCAGGAGTTTGAGAACAGCCCAGGCAATACAGTGAAACCCCATCTCTACAAAAAATAAGAAAAATTAGCCAGGCATGGTAGGGCACACCTGTAGTCCTAGTTACTTGGAAGGCTGAGATGGGCAGATTGCTTAGGCGTAAGATTTGGAGGCTACAGTGAGTTAAGATTGCACCAATGCACTCAAGACGGGGGAAGAAAGTGAGAAGAGAGTTTCTAGTTTTCTAAAAACTAGAAAAAAATAAAATAAAAATAAAAACCATTCTTAGCTCATGGGCTACACACAAGCAGGCAGGAGGCTGGATCTGGCATGCAAGGCCCTAGTTCGCCGATCTCAGGTCTAAAGGGTTGGTATGCCCCAATGCATCACACTTTCAACTCACATCTCCATACGCTTGATCATGCTGTCTCCTGTGTCTAGATTACCCTTTTGGCTTCTCTGCCCTGAGGGTTCCCTAACCCTGCCTGCCCCTTCCTCCATGTTCCCCCTGCACTGTGTGAATACAGCTGGTACAGTCTTACAGCAGTTGATTCTAACTGCTTTGTACACAGTTGTGTCTATTCACCTCTGTACCCCTGGCTGAGACCTGGCCCACAGCAGGCACTAAGGCATGTGCTGAAGTGGGAAAAAAAAAGCAAAAAGCATCCCAAGCGGTGTAAGCCTGGTACAAAGCAGCTCTGCACTAACCCAGCAAAACATGGAGAAGCAACTCTAACCTCTGACTTATATACCCCTGGCAACTAGGAAATTAGGAAACCAGTAACTACTTTCCACAATGTCTGCTCAGCCTGTTCCTCACCTGAACACTAAAATTGAGATCTTCAGCCTCATAAGCAGAGTAGAAAAGCAACCAGTGGACAGCTGACACTCCCTTTGTAATTGTTGTTAGGAACGTGTGGAGACCACTACAGATGTATTAAATTCCTTTTTCTGTTTCGTCCAACAACTAAAGGGTATTACGATGACTATTTGGCAGAAGCTGGATATGACCTAAAGATGTACTAAGTGAAAGAGAAAAAATAAAAGTATGTACCTTGACTATAATTAGGTAAACTATATGCAGAAAGAAAAACTGGAAGGAAAAACCCATCTATTATTACTGACATTAGGGGTTATCTTACCTTTTCTTTAATTATAATTAATTTAGGATTCAAAACCAAAAACTCGTTAGGAAAGAAATACATGATACTAATGGCAACTTGACAGGGAATCTATCCTGATCTAAAGATAAAGGAAAGGTATGTGTTGCTAGTGAGCCAGAGAGTTCCCTTATGTTAAAAGTAAACTGGCCGGGCGCGGGCGCGGTGGCTCACGCCTGTAATCCTAGCACTCTGGGAGGCCGAGGCGGGCGGATTGCTCAAGGTCAGGAGTTTGAAACCAGCCTGAGCAAGACTGACGCCATGGCACTCACTCTAGCCTGGACAACAAAGCGAGACTCTGTCTCAAAAAAAAAAAAAAAAAAAGACTTTAGCCTCCTCCAACAGCTGCTGACTAAACACCAACTATTTAGTCTGGTGTTCCAGGCCCTACATACACATCCTGCACAGGGTACTTTCCCAAACTGTTTCTCTCAATTCGTCTCCATTCCAGTCAGTAAAACTGGAGTCCCTGATGTCTTGCAAACAGACCTTTAACTTTCCTGCCTTTGCTCATGTCCCCTTCCTTACCTGCAGAAATACTTCAAGGCTGAATTCAGTGGTAATGAATCTTTGACGCCGCCAGCTCTATGAATGAAGACTCCCTTGGTTACCTATCTTCTTGTCCTTGTCCTCTTAAGTTTTTATAGCACTTTCTTTTCTCTTGCTTTTTTTTTAGACAGAGTCTTGCTCCATTGCGCTGGCTAGAGTGCTGTGGCATTAGCCTAGCTCACGGCAACCTCAGATTCCTAGTCTCAAGAGATCCTCCTGCTTTAACCACCCAAGTAGCTGGGACCACAGGCATGCACCACCACGCCTGGCTAATTTTTTCTGTTTTTAGTAGAGACCGGGTTTCCCTCTTGCTAAGGTTTCGAACTCCTGAGTTCAAGTGACCCTCCCGCCTAGGCCTCCCAAAGTGCTAGGATTACAGGCGTGAGCCACCATGCCTGGCCTACAGCACTTTTAGACATTTCTTTAGACATATTAATAATGTGTACATTTTTCTGTATTACTAGATTATAAATTTCTTTTTTTTTTGAGACACAGTCTTGCTTTGTTGCCCAGGCTAGAGTGAGTGCTGTGGCGTCAGCCTAACTCACAGCAACCTCAAACTCCTGGGCTCAAGCAATCCTTCTGCCTCAGCCTCATCTCTACTGTAAATAGAAAGAAATTAATTGGCAACTAATATATAAGAAAAAATTAGCCGGCATGGTGGCGCATGTCTGTAGTCCAGC